AATGGCTATCCGTTCCTACTTAAGGGGTCTCTCCTTAAAGAAAACAGTTCTCTTTTTGGGAAGGAAAAAGGTGCAAGTGACAGGGATTGACAGGAAGGTAAGAAGAAAACCCATAAGAGAATGCAAAAACAACAGTGTTTGTGTTTCCCAAGCATTTAACAAGACTCATTTGACCTTTCGGCTCTTACAACTTCATTCTTGACAACTGGCAAATTCTCCCATTTTATCTTTAATTAGACTGACAAATTTGCATGCCTACAGGCAAAGTCTGACTTCTCTCTGTCGAATGTCTGACTTACCCACTTCTTTCTTTTTGAAGTGTCTATCATAACTCTAGCCACCCAGGCTTGGTTGAAGGATGGGTGTTAAATGTTCTACATCAATATAAATGTTCTACATAAATAAAACATAAACAATAGGTAACCTATTCTATTATCTTATCTGAATATTACATAACTCCTAATATTCAACCATAGAGGGTCAACATTGGTAAAATTTGCTGCTCTCTTTGCTTACATAATTTTACCAGCTTTAAACACTATACACCTTAACACGTGAATAAGAGAGAGCGTCAGTTCCCACTAATTCACTTTAGGCAGCCAGAAATATTGAAAAAGTTGAGCTGGCAACTGTGACCCTTATCCATATAAAAAGGGGGTGGGGTTTTGATTGCATAGTCATGACCATCGTTTGACTTTTTGATGCTGACCCCCAAAGGTGCATCTCTTAGCCAACATCTGTTTGGGTTGGTCCTAAAACCTGAGGTGAAGGCTATGTAATATTCTCATTTTTTTTTGGTCAGAGTGGATGTACTCTTCCATTTCTCTCATAAAAGTGGCTCAAATTGGCTCAAATTCATTTATTCCTATAAACCAAAGTATAACCACTTATTCTCTATAGTTCTATCATTGTGGCGGTGGCTTTTATTGTCTATTATCCCTTGGTTAACAAAGACAGACGCTGCCTCTATATCTGTTTTTCAATAAGCCTTGTTTGTAGGACTGTGTGCTTGTCTGTATTTATTAAAATATTGGAGGAACAAAAACAGAAGGATCAGAATCTTCAATAGACTAATCCAGTTTTTCTCAGCCTTAGCAATTTTAAGATGTTGGCTGAGAAATTCTGGGAAGTTCAGACATCTTGAATTTGCTAAGGTGGAGACAAATAGGTTTATCTCTTCATCAACCAAATAGGTTTATCTCTTCATCAACCATAGCTAAGATCACGAACTCTTTCAGACAAAATTGAAGCTTCTAAAATGTTATACTATGATTTAAAACATCTTCCCTATCTTTGAAATATGCAGAGTCTTCAGATGTTAGGAGATCACTTTTCCTTTACCTCAAGGTCTGGATTGGGTTAAAAAAAATATTTCAGCCTTTACAATTCACACTCTAATAGAGAGTTCCCCAACCTTTCTGGATTGGAGTGAGGAGGGAGTAGGGAAAGAGGGAATGGTTTTGTTGGAAGGGTAGGCTCATGTGTGTGCACTGATTGCTCCAATTGGTGTGCAACACTCATGCTGATGCTCGTGCAAGTGGGGTTGTATGCACTGGCCAGCTACCCACACTGGAAGCCAATGAACCCATGTGGACACCTGTTGTTCACACAAATGGGACCATGAGCGCCCATGGCAATGCTCACATGAATGGGCTGCGAGTGCCCACTCAATTGAGGTTGCAAGCGCCCATGACACTCATGATGACACTTATGTGAGTGGGGCTATGTGTGTGTGCACCGGCCAGCTACTCACACACCAATAGGTCACAACCCATTAATGGGCTGCGGCCCACAGATTGGGGACCCCCTGATCCAGCACATCTGTCTCCAAACTCAAATTTACAACCTGTTATGGATAATCCCTAGATTTGTAATCCTAACACATAAATTGCAAGCACTGACGGCACTTTCCCAATGTTGTTGGACTGGTGCCCAACAAGTTTAAAGACGTGAATGGCTTCCAAGTTTGTGCTATTGGGAATTGAAAACTATTTTTCATTTTTGAATCACCTTTCCAGCAGATGTCTTTTCAATTTATTAGAGGCGTGAATCCCTCTATATTCCTGGAAACATATTCAGTTCTTGTACTTATTTAAGTTCCTTTTCATTGAGTTTTCTAAGGCTATATATTAAAGGAGAGCCATTAAAAAAAAAGACTTGAAAGATGTGGACAATGAAACAAGTGCTTACTTGCATCTACTGAATGCCTGTATTAAACTATTATGATAGGCACATTCAAAAGCTGTCAGATGCATTTATTTTAATTCAATGAATCATATCATAAATGCATGCTGATGTGGGCTGAACAACTACTTAACGCTAGATTAATGGATGTAAGATGGTTGTATTTTAAATAAGAATTAAACAATGGCTCTTCAAAAAAAGGAAGAAACCCCCACCGCTACCATTTCAGATTGAGTTCAAATGTGATAAATTATAAAACTGATATAGTATATTTTAGGAAGCTGGCCCTTCAAACTGAATCTCAAAATTAGGGACTTTTAGGCAGAAACAGATGTGAAAGGAACCCCTATTCCCGATTTTGAACCTTTAAATATAAAATAAAAATTGAAGAGCATGGAGATGAAACAAAAGGGTCAATTCAATTAAAGATGTGTGGTGTGAAGTGGTAAAATCCCAATATTGATTTCCATTGATAGTGAGAACTAAGCTTAAGAGTGTTGCATTTTCACTATCTTTGCTAAACAGCCAATAAGGTTTCAAAAAGCTTTGGAGGAAGAATGAATGAAATCTCCTTTCTGATGGATACAGAAAGATATCTCCAAGCAATAAAACATTGTGGTTTCTTCCTAACAGCTTTTCATCAGAAACCCCAGGGATTTGCTACATGTTAGTTGTAAATGCTTCTAAGTGGCTTATATACCAAAGCACCTTTTCCATGCAGTCTTTAATCAATATTTGTTTTCAAAAACTTGAAAGGGAAGTACAAAAACAATCCTCTTAGACAAATGATTTAATATAAAAGTCTTCTTAAAAATATTTATCCTAGGTTAAAGCAGCAAACACTACTTTTTAATTGTCAGCACTGCTTTTCACTTTCTTTGTAAACCATAGAATGAGAACAGATGCTTGAAATGCACAAATATGCCAGTTTCAGTCCCTGGAACATCCTGTTAATATGGATTGAATAAATGTGACCAGAAAGGTTGCTCTCTGGCCTACACCTGGGATAATTGCTGTCAATCTAAAGAAACAAGGTAAGATTAACCCAGTGGTGGGATTCAAATAATTTAACAACTGGTTCTCTGCCCTAATGATTTCTTCCAACAACCAGTTCACCAAACTGCTCAGAAAGTTAACAACCGGTTCTCCCAAACTGGTGCAAACTGGCTGAATCACAACACTGGATTAACCCATAAAACATCCAGACTTCATAAATGGTATCTATGTTTCTATACTTCAGTAAACCGAAGATATTAGGCTAAGGCAGTGGTTCTCAACCTGTGGTCCGTGGACTCCTAGGGAGGATCACAATGTTGCCTTAGGGATTGATGAAGGTTTGAAGAAATGTTATGATTTAAATCTTGAGGTAAGTCTTTGGAATACGTGGTCACAACAGGTATTTAAAGAGGCTCCACGGTGAGAATTGCTAAGCTAGGGCAAAACAGATGTAGGTTCCAATCCATGTTTAGTCTTGACACTTTCAGATGTGATCTTGGAACAGTCCCCTTATTACACTAAACAATCTTTTGGTAGTCAGGTGTTGCCTTTGACATTTTGAAGAGAACTGAAAGCTGTAGAGATGGCGCAGTGAGAGCAGGAGCAGACCAAACACATAGGCAAGAGTGAAGAGAGGTGTGGGCTTCAAAAATTTTAGCAAAGGGTTCTCTGCTCGGTTGCCGGGGGTGTGTGGCCATGGTGGATGTGGCCTAGATGGCCTCCTTCACCCTGGTGTGTGTGTGGGGGGGCGTTTTTGCCCTCCCAGGGCTTCAGAGGCTTTCCTCAAGCCTCTGGGTGGGTGAAAATGGCTTCTCCGGGCTCCAGAGGCTCTCTGGAAGTCAGAAACTTCACCCCATTTTCGGCCTTCCTGAATTTCCGGAAGGCCTGTTCTACACCCTCTCCAATTCTCCACACTTACCTGCATCTAAAACGGGCCACGTGGGGACACCTGGGAGGGGCAAAGCAGGATGGGCGGGACCAGCCAAGAGTGGGATTTGGAGGTTCTCCGAAGTATGCAGCATCTTAGATAAGGGTTCTCCTGAACCCCTGTGAACCCCCAGCAGCCCACCCCTGGGTGAAGTTTTCTGGTTGTCTCCCATTCTGATGATTTTGAGGGAAGATCTTTTTAGAACAGAAACAAAAAAACGTTGTATCTGAAGGTTTGACGCTATAGGTTTGCTTACTTCCTGCCTCAAAATGGCAGAAAATCATAACACGGTATTTTAGACAGAAGAGGCACAAAAGGAGCTTGGAGATTGTAAGTAGGTTTGCCCAGAATTGAAAAAGAAACCACTCAATCTCTCCTTGAAGGATAATGGTTTGATGCATCTACTATGTCATCCTGAGGTTTTGCATTGTGCTTATCCCTCCAGTGAATGACGAGTAACTGAGCCAAGTAGGATGTAATGGTAGGAAGTAGCAAGTAGCAATAACACTTAGGCTTATATACTGTTTTACTAAGCAGTTTACAGAATCAGCATACTGCCCCCAACAATCTGGGTGTTCATTTTACCCATCTCAAAAGGATGGAAGTCTGAGTCAACTTTGAGCCTAGTGAGATTGGAACTGCCAAATTGTAGGCAGCCAGCAGTCAGCAGAAGTAGCCTGCAGTACTGCATTCTAACCACTGTGCCACTGTGTCAGTAACCAATATAAACAGTGATTTTCCATATTTCAGTGGGTTTAACCTACATTATAAAGAGATAGCACAGAAAAACCGAGCAAGTGCCTTTCCAAAATCAAAACCAACCCTAACACAGAGAGAAAATACTCCATTTGAAATCCATTTTTTTTTTACAAATGTCTACAGCTCTACCAACCTGTTTGCCCAACTGATCCTTCTTGACAAAGCCAGTGGCTGCAGCAATATTTCCAGCGCCTTCCACCGTCTTCTGGGCTACGGCTGTCACTCCGGTGACAACAGCTCCCCCTACATTTGACACTTGCTCTTTGGTTTTCTCAGCCACTGTAGGGAGGTAAATGTCAGAGAGGGAGAAAATTTCTCAAGTGTCTTTTTCCAAGGTCAACATGGAATGTCTCTGACTATTCACAGATGGTACAGGATGCAGTTTTATTAGGCATGCAAAAGAAAGAAAAATCTCAAAGCGTATCTTAGTTAAGTCCAACTTACCCTACAGTATACAATTTACTTTGCCCCTGGGTTACAATTACGCATGGGTTTTCAAATTTTAATTTGAAAAACATTGTTAACAAATATATTTATTTAAACTACCAAAATAGTCTTCCAGCTGGAGCTTCTGGCAGGATAATGCTTGCTTAAATATGCAAAGAATGCTCAGCCCATCTGAGCATTGCAAAACTAATCCTGTGTTCTTTCTATGTAGTAGCTGTATTTTTTCCAGATCATAAAAGTGTGCAGTACCAATTTTAAAAAATCTTATACGGTTAGTTCCAAAAGCCATTAGTAGATAATTCAAAAGAGGATGAGCACCTATAAAGGTCAATGAGTCTTTCTAAACGAAATTGAAAAAAAAAACCAAACACCCTGAAATGCTTTGAGTGGTCTCAACGATGAAAGGAAGGGAAGATAATTCTTGTGGATTTCTCTTTTTCTTCCCCGCCCTAAATATCCCCAGAAGGACTAAAATACCCCACCATTGTCATTTGATGGCATTCTAATCTCAAACTGACTTAAGTTGTGCCCTCCAATGTTTGTCCACTGCTTATTCCCGGTCCACTTGATGGGGATGTTGATCAAATGAGTTGGCCGTACAATTCCCATCTCATGATGTTTACAGACTGCTGTTTTACAAAAGCTATACACTAGAGCTGTCAAACTCCCAGCCTGTGGGCTGGATGCGTCACACACTGGCCATGTCTGCACCCGGTTTAGCAAAGGGGAAAAAAGTCCTGATACATTATGTGATGATGTGAGTTTGACACCCCTGTTGGCCCGGGTTGCTTACACTGACAAAACTGAACATAAAATATACCCAAGTGAATTGAATCTGCTTCATATAATCAATTCAAATATACCCTGTTTCCCCAAAATATGACCTACCCTGAAAGTAAGTCCTAGCTTGATTTTTACATGTGTGCCCAATATAAGCCCTACTCCCAAAAGAGCCAGCATTGTCCAAAGACATCTCTGTGGTCATGTGGCTGGCATAACTAAATGCCAAAGGTGCACGGAACACTGTTACCTTCCCACCAAAGTGGTTCCTATTTTTCTACTTGCATTTTATATGCTTTCAAACTGCTAGGTTGGCAGAAGCTAGGACAAGTAATGTGAGCTTACTCCCGTTGGAACTAGGGATTCGAACCGCTGACCTGCCGACCTTTCTGATAGAAAGCTCAGCATCGTAGCCACTGAGCCATCGCATTCCTTTTGAGGACTACCTATATTTTATCAAAAAGGAAGTCACTTAGGAAGAAAATGTGAATTTGCTCTTGTCATTTGATACCCAAGCAAGGTCAAAATTTGTTCTTGAATTCTGGAGATGAATTTCAGCTGCAGCTACAACAGCCATACAAATCATTTTATAAGAAAAGAGTTCCCGGAAATATAATAACAGGTATATACTGCCTATTACTCATTTACTGCTGTTGGAGGCACACAGCCAATGATTGCACTCGAAATGCTAAGAACCTGTTTGTCAACTCGAAATGCTAAGAACCTATTTGACACTATTTACGATTCCAGGGCCATCCTTGATAATTGAAGATCACATTTCTAGAGCCTAGAGAAGCCTGTTGTTTTTGTCAGCAACTCTGTTGGCATCTTCAGAGGCAAAATTGCTTTGCTATGCAGATCACAGGGATCACTTAGCAGGGACTGGCTGACTGCCTTGTCAGTCAAAGTTCCCAGGAAACCTCAGGAAATCTTTTCTCTTGATCACGTTCACTAAACCTTGACCGTCAACAGATGCCATCTGTGAAACCCTACACCGGCATATTACTGTGTACAACTAAGTTTCGAACAATTGGCCAGTGTATCAAATGAGGTCTAGGTATGAAAGCTGCTTTCAGCATAAGGAAGACTACAAATGAGTTTCTCTTGCCAGGAAAATAATCACTGAGGCCCACTGGTTTTTGCCCCCCAAAAGATATGCAATCTGGGCCAATATTTTGCTGGCTTTGCATTCCCCCACAGATGGCACGTGTTTGAATCATCAGAAACAGGAATTGTGCTACAGATTAATATCTCCAAATGTCCTATTGGCAGGAATGTTCCTTTCCCAATAAGACCGACAATGCTGATTCCCAAATGCCTGATCATATCGCAGACTTTTCCTTTCTAAATCAGAGCTACTTTTTAAAGAACAGACAAGAGATTTATTGATGACTTAAAACTAGAAATGCAATTATGGACTTACCTGTTGTGACACCGTGAACCACGCCCTCTTTGGTCTTTGACCCTATTTATCCAACAAAAATAAAATAAAATAAAAATCAGTCTCAGTGGAAACTGAACAGAATGAGTTTTAGGAAGCTTAAGGATACAGTTAAAGAACCCTAGGCTGAGATCACCGTAACTTACTGATCCTAATTTCCACACAAATCATGTTTTTATCAAATAGTAGCCCACACAATAAACTGCAAATGATAGCTTAACATTAGGACTTGGTTCACACACAAAGAGAATAATAGTTTCAAACCCTCCTGCCTTTATTTGCCCAAGTGGGCATTCCAGAAACAGAGACTTAATTGGATAGATCCCTTTTCTGGTGAAAAGTATTGGAATTTTTAGAGGTCTTTTGTAGCAAATTGCAATTTATGGATGCAAAAGAATTCTGATGCATGCCTAAGACTTCCATATCAAAAGATGCTTTAAACATGTGTCTTTTGTGCATTTGAATGATACAAGCTTAGCTGGTTTATGGTGACAGATGAAACTTTGTGGGATTTAGCTATGCTTTTAATTGCTGCATGCTGTGAAATGAAACAACATCTATGGAAAAATTCAGCTTTCACACTAACCAGGAAGCATGAATCACATTCAGATATTCAGTTGGGCATGGCTAAATCTGCTGGCTCAGTTTCTTTAATGGCTGGGATTCCATCAAAACAACCTCTAAATAAGTCCAATATAAATCTATTTTTCCAATTTGATCCCAAAATTAGCACATTGTTAAAGTGACATACAATAATCTAAGCCAGGAATGGGAAATTTATACTTTTCAGGAACACCCCTTCCAAAACATACACACATGCACCTTAAGATTGCACCAGCAGTAAAATAGCTGCATTGTGTTGTTTTATCTTTAGAGAAGTAACCATTTGGCTATTGTCTTTCTTTTTTTCAGAATTTTAGGAATGGGGATGGAACTGGGAAATTACGGGGAGGGAAATTCATTCATAAGCTCCTCTTAAAACCACAGAGAAACTGCTCTTTGTAGACCCTCAAAAAAAAAAAGAAAGTGGACTCAGCCTTTGGTATAGATGGAATGATTTCTTTTTCTTACCTTTTAAAAAGAGTAACAAAGCCAAAAGATGAACCAAAATATTTTGGCCATACTTTTCCTGATAACATCCTTACATTTCTAGATGGTCTCCTCTGAAAGGTCAGGGTTTTTTTTAAACAGATTAACAGAATTGGAAGGGACCTTGTAGGTCATCTAGTCCAACCCCCCCGCCCAAGCACCCTACACCATTTCTGACAAATGGCAGTCCAGTCTCTTCTTGAAAGCTTCCAGTGATGAAGCTCCCACAACTTCTGAAGTCAACTTCTGTTCCATTGGTTGATTGCTCTCTCACTGTCAGAACTTTTCTCCTTATTTTCAGGTTGAATCTCTCTGTGTTCAGTTTCCATCCATTATTCCTTGCCTGGCCTTCAAGTGCCTTGGGAAATAGCTTGACACCCTCTCTCTGTGGCACCCCCTCAAATATTGGAATGCTGCTATCATGTCTTCCTGGTCCTTCTCTTCACTAGACTAGCCATGCCCAGTTACTGCAACCATTCCCAGGTCCTCAAATAGTTGCTTGCCATATGTGGACAACTCTTTTTCTCAACAGTAAACCAACCTAGATTATAATCTATTCTCAATTGCAAATGAAGGCGAATATACGTGCCCTAGGATAATGTTGCAGGATCCAACCTGGTTCAGTCACCATGACCAGAGGTTTAGTTATCTGAGCTGTCAGACTCATGCAGGAGTCAATCTTCAGGTAACTCTCTAACAGAATGTCTGCTTTGGGCTATTCTATGTATAACATTTATGTAGAGCCTGGTTGTGTGTGGCATTTTAGTCATTGATTGGGGTATTGATGGCCAGCTATTAAGTCATTGGGTGTTGTTTCCTTATGATGCCAAGTGCTCGGCTCCTAAGAACTTAATAAGCTGGTGGTAAATCAGCACTCCTGTTGACTGACACAGGTGGTTCCCAGGTGTCAACCATTTCTCTGGTTATTTTTGCCCCTGCTCAGCCAACAATCTTAGTAGCTGCAAAATTGAATGCCATATTTTTGTTCATTGCAATGTGAGACCACCAATGAGCTTAGTTCTCCTCATCTGACTGCTTGCTTCTGTTCTTGAATTCTACTCTCAATTGACTGAGGAGAATATGACCTATTAGAGCAAATCCGTGTAGGGATAAGTATTAAGACACACTTGACATCAAAGTCAGGGTTCATCAGTGTTCATCTTGGTTAGCTCTACAAGTTAGATCTTGGCCTGATGATTGGATAGCAACCATGAATCTACTCCCCACAGATGCAATGCATCCCTTTTGAATTTTTTAAAGATTTCTTCAAGATCTCTCCCTGAAGAGACACAAGCAATCCACCAATACAAGATATTTTATTTCTAAGTGGAATAAACATTATTGTGTCCAAAGTACAGGCACTTAGTAGAAGCTTTAGTTATTTCCAATTCTAAAACTTTGCCATTCAAACAGCGCAAGAAATGTAAGAATGCATTTGGTTTAAAGGAGGGACATATTAGCATAGATCATCTTGATTGCTCATTCTGTATAGAATAGCAGCATGGAAAAGAAATCCAGATTGCTGTTCGTGGTTAAAATGTTGGATCGAGACCAAGGAGACCCAAACTTCAGTCTATCTTCAAAACAATTTTTCTCCCCAGATTGTTTTGGGGTAAATAAATTGAAGAAAGGAATGCAAAGAATCTCACCTTGGGTTCCAGGATGAAAAAAAATGAATGAAAATCTAAATAATTCTACATACACTAGCTCTGTACCTGTGCTTGGCTATGAAACTGTGTGATCAGGCTTAGTTTTGGGGAAGGAAAATAAGGGGAAAAATTGTGCTTCTGCCTAACAGCATCCGTCGATATTCATCTGGCTATCGTCCTCTCAGTGTGTGAGAAAGTTGAGGGCTGGTTGGAAACTGAAGCAGTATTTGCTGTGTGAGCAAGAAGGAGACAGCAAGGAGCCTGGGCGTGGCTTAGCTCAACTGTTCTGTACTAAAGCTGGCTACTGCTGTGAAACTAATACTGAAGCTGAAACTCCTTCCCTCTGCTTGTGTTTTGCATTTGGAGCAGATTTCTTCTCAGGTGGGGAGGGGGAGTAGAACTCCTTAGCATCAGAGCATGTTAATAATAATATACGAAATACTAATGCTCTGATGGTCATTTTGAAAAATAATTTCTTAGTGAGCACCTAGAAGCCAAGAGGAACATACGTGCCAAATTTCAAGTTTGTAGGCTTTACAGTTCTGGAGATTTTGTGATGATGCATGACTGGCATTTCGCTTTTATATATATATAAGATATATACAAATTGAGAGCTCAGTATACCACATGTTCCTAATGAACCTTGAATCTGTATGAACCTCCAAAGCAGTGATGGGATTCAATTTTTTTTACTACTGGTTCTGTGGGTGTGGCTTGATGGGCGTGGCAGGGGAAGGCTACCGCAAAATCCCCATTCCCTCCCCACTCCACGAACCTGCTTTCCAGCTCCGTTCTCCTGTACAGCGCAACAAACGAAGACCCAGCCAATCAGCTGGGACTCAATGGGAGGTGGAGAATAGATAAGGGCGGGGCCAGTCAGAGATGATATTGGCCGGTTCTCTGAACTACTCAAATGTTCAACTACCGGTTCTCCAGAACTGGTCAGAACCTGCTGAATACCATCTCTGCTCCAAAGTTTCCATATAGATGCATCAAATCTTAATTTGACTGGAGCACACAGGAAAAGGTGTATCCCACTAAATATTGAATTTAGATCTGTAAGGGTCACCTGTTTGAGCCAGGGGCTGGACTAGAAGACCTCCAAGGTCCCTTCCAAGTCTGTTTTCTATGGTTCTGTAAGAGTTTCCTGCTCGAGCAGCGGGGTGGACTAGAAGAACCCCAAACTCCCTTCCAACTCTATTGCTCTATGATTCTAGATTTCATTCAATTTCATTCATATTTTCTTTCTGTCTTGGCTCCACCCAGCTCTTGACATGGGATCCCTGATGTGCCAATCAAAGGCTGTGTGGACCTTGGCACAAAAAATAATAATAATAATAATAAAAAGCACACACTCCAGATTTAGCATCGCACCACTTACCCACATAGAGGACTCCTTCTTTTGTTTTCCCTGCTGCTTCTGCCACACCTTGCTTGGTTTTCTCTGCTGCTGCTACCACGCCTTCCTTCGCTTTGTTAAACCCTTTCATGAATACATCCATGGCCAAAATACGTTGGTGTCCAGAACTGAAAAGATAGATAACTTTTAATGAGTGTGTTTTTAAGGGGGAATAGCACACCTATCCATGCATCTAATATCATCTTGGTCTAAAACTATGCAGTTGGCTAAATATGGAGATAAACAAAGCATCAGGGAGGGGAAATGGGACATTAAAACCATGGTCCTACATGTATATTAGTCACAAAAACAACCTGTGATTATTTCCTGCAGACGGATGAGTTCTGACCTAGGTTTCCCCAACAGCACGAAGCCGACTCCTCATCCTGATAAACCCCTTTTATTTAGTTTACAGTGAATTCCTCTCCAGCAAAGTCCCGGCCAACAGTCTTTCAAGATATTTCACAATTATAGACTTTTATCAGTCTTGGAGAGTTGCCAGACCGATATCTTTCAGATGTCACACTGTAGCAGGCAATGCTTGGCAAGAATGCAGGAACAGATCTTCACCCAAATGAACAAATTGTCTCCTGCAAAACCCCACTCCTCTTTCATTCCTCTTTTATTCCCTGTGGGAGGGGCCATTCACCGTCCACCTGTGGCTTTACTCCCAAGTTGACCCTTGTTCCTTAGCTGTTCTCGTCTTCTGGCAGCTCTGCGCATGCACACACTGAGAACAAGCTCCAGCTGTTCTTCTGCCTCACTGATGTCCAACTCAGAAGGTAGCTGATAACTATCAGACGGCCCTGGCCCCATCTCTGCTTCTGATGCAGAGAACTCATCAGAGCCTTCCCCTGACTCCAGGCCTGGCCCATTTTCCACCTCAACCTCCTCACTGTCCGAATCTGCTACCAGCTCCACTGGCCAATGATGGGCCACAACACTGAGTGTCTTCCATCAACCAGGTATTCGTTGCATGTTATCCTGGCAGACTGCAGTTGAATGCATTATCTCTTCAGAGATGACTTTAAGGTGCCCCCATTTCCTGAAGAGATCCACTATCCTGCAGCTTTTTAGTTCCTTCAGGATAACGAGAAAGACCTTTTCATTCTTACGGGCTTGAAACTCTTTGCATTTTGGTGTCATTGTATTATGCTTCTGTAAGTGGTTTAATTTTGAAAACATTGCTTTAATGCATTTTTTAACCGCTGCCCTTGTTTCTTATTTAAAAAGACTGGTGTTATGCAAAGATAATTGAATATTTCATTTCCTACTTCATTCTAGCCTTAGTTTTTAATTGTAAATATTTTGCCCAGTTTTTTAAATGGTAAACTCATACCATCTCCTCACCTCATTTGATCCCCTAGGAACCACAGCATCCAATGATAGTTGTACAAAAAAGCCAACTTCTACAAATAAAATAGAAGCACCTATGTTAGATTCAGAGGTTCATTCATTTTTTGGGGGGATATTCCTGGAATTAAATCACCAAGGGAGTGAAAGGACCAACATAATATCATTACACTCAGATATTATATACTCGTACACTACGCCATTGTTTCTGTAATCTGGGTGTGCCAATAAGCACAAATGGGATGACTTCATGCAATGTGCTTCAGCATAAAAACTTAGTCCAAAAATTGGGCTCATACAATCTGCTTAGGTTAGAATCATGATTTAGAAACTGCAACACCAGGAAACTGGAGTCGTGCAACATGCTAACTCAAAACTCAGCACACTATAATATGGCTCAATGTGATACGTGAACCCAGCACAAATGTTTCCTACATTGTAAATGTTTTTATGAAACGCTTGTCAGATAATATCAGATAATGCACTGGAAATGATTGATCACTGCCACATTTTGGGGTACATTCCAGATGGTGCATCAACAACCCAATCCAAGCTATGTTTAGCAAGAGATTAAGTCTCTTGCTAATTTAAATTATATTTTTAATAAGCAAATGTGGCTACCAACAGGTAGCCTTTGTCATGCACTGTGAGTCACAAATACACCCCAGAACAAACTTTGCTCAAGACTTATGGAACAACATCTCGACGTTGCTCGTTCACAAGTGGCTAAAACATTAATCTTTAAGACTACAAAAACTCAGTTTTACCCAGGATTCTCTCACCAGCACCCCAATATCCTTTTTAAATGGTTGGGGGCTTTGGAACTCATTTGCCTTTCAAACAGATTTTAAAAATAAACGGGGGCTCCCGATTCTGCCAAGACGGCAAGAATAGAAACCTAAAGCCATAATCTGGTATCATAGCAAGTTCTCCTGAACCACAAGCTTGTGAGTAATTCTTTTAAAATAGGAGTGTGAACTCGAAGTGGAATGAGGTGATGAGGAGGAGCCTCAGTCTGCCTCAAAGGGAGGATTCTAACATTAGCTGAGATCATGTTCATACCCACAATGTGGTCTGCTTTTTAAACAATCCCTTATTTGCAAAATATCTGAGAAAAAATAATAATCAAAAGACCCTTTCATATCCTGAAAAAGTAGAAGGACCTTTTTGCTCTTAAATTACTAGAGAAATCGTTAATTTTGGCACCAGCGTACCTACATGGAACCCAAGCTAGACTATCAGCTCTGAAATAAATATTTGCCAAATTAATTGGGGGTAAGGGAGGAATAAAGTAGAGGATGGACATGCAATGTATATATATGTGAAATGAAATTGAGATTTATTCCCCCTCTGAACACCAAATCATTGAGGAGGCGAATCTTCAGATTTGCTTGATTATCTTGATTCGCCAAAGGTTCCTCCAGTTTCCTAAAATGGAAACTTGGCTTTTCCTCTTGAAAGGGGGACAATATAAATCACAGGCACTTGCTAATTCCTATTTTTTCTCTTTCTCACCCACACATGTCTCTTACCCAAGAAAAGCAGTAAGATATGATCATTATTTAACTATTTGGAAGCCTGAGATGTTTTGCGCTCCAGATTTCTAGCAGAATGGGTGCAACTGAATGCCCAATATGTTAGGCCACCTTCAAAAACAAGGTCTTCTTCATTGGCAGCTGAAGAGCCTTTAAAGGAGCGGAAGTCCCTTTTCTTTATATTCCTGCATTCCAGACTATCATGAGAAAGATTGAGGGCATATTTCAACCATCTGTTGAAGAGCTGCTGTGACAAATCCCAATTACAAACCAGACCAGCTCTTCTGGTATCCTTTAGATGCTCTCCAAAACAATTTCCATCACTCCCACCACCTAGGTTGGCAAGGATAGCAGAAACTCTGGTTCTGGGCATCTGGAGACCATGGTGGTATTAGAAGGCAGTATGCATGTTAACATGGCTTATCCTCCCACCCCCCACCCCCCGAGTTCCAAGGAAACAAGGCAACTAAAACCAGAAGGAAGTTTGCTTATCCAAACATGATATTTCCGCAAAGATACACCAATTCTTCTCTGCCCCTAAAGATACAGCCGTAAGGCTGGTTCAGCATCAACAAGGAGATATTCCCCCAGTTGCACTGCTCTGGCCATTCTTGAGATGTTAACTAAGACATCTATTATTATCAGTCTCGTTTTTTTTCTTTCTCCCACAGCCAAATCGGACTGCCGATTATCTATTTGCCTCTGTGCCAAAGCTTATTTAAGAATCTTAGACACTTCCTCTAAAGTCTTGCCCATATGGAAGGAATTACTCCAAGAAAGGAAGCACGCACCGAATGGGCACGGGGGCGGGGGCACACTTACATAATAGCCAGATCCAAATAACACACCGCGAATAAATATCACACCCAACAAGAGCGATGGAGTCCTGTTGCGGTTCCGTTCCCAGGCTTTGCAAAAAAAAACAAAAAAAAAAAAAACTGCCCCACTTTACCCGCCCTTTATCCCCGGGGATAGGCACCCAACGATCCCCCCACTTCCCTTAGCAGCCTCCTGAGACCCCCTTCTTCCCTCGAGGTTCCGGTAAGTTACTTACCCCTTTGTGGTTTATTCACTTCGCGCCTCGCCTGGCTGGAGCGATCAACAGTTAGTCTTTTGCAACTGTTTGCTTTTTTTTTTTTAAAAGAGCGGAAAAAGGAGGCTCGGAAGAAAGAAGGAGAAGAAGAAGAAGAAGAAGAAGGATGGAAGCAAAGCGCTCCAAGAGTTGCCAAGGAGGCACCCCGCGCTCCCTTTCCCGCGGTCAGCACATCACTGCCGAGGTCCGCCTAAGGCTCAGCCGGTGGTGGTACCCAAGCTCCGGTCCTTCCCAAGGCGAGGCAAGGCGAGGCGAGGCGAGGCGAGGAGGATGTGACTGGGTGGGGGTGGGGATGGGGAAGGGCAGGAAGGCTCCCCTCGCGGACCGGAGAGAAAACTGCGCCCCGCTTCGCAGCTCCGACGTGGGGCGGGCCAGGAAGGGAGGGGATGGGGATGGGGGGGGCGGGGGGAGGAAAGCAAGCGTGCCTCTTCTTTGTGCTGGTTCGTCAGGTAGCCATGCGGCGCCCACGGACTCCCTCGCCCTCCCCCATCCTGGTCCCTCCATCTTCTCCCTGACTCCGCCCGGTGCCAAGTGGACCCCCCCCCTCCCCAAAATTCAAATTAAAATAAAAAAAGACAGCCGAGCTCCGGGTTCCTAGCGCTGGACGGCTTTATTTTGCCATCCGTGCGCCCCCACCCCCGCCCCCCCGGAACGCCTGGAGAGGAAGAAAGGGATGCGCTACCTGGTTGGTTCCCGTGTAGGAAGGTTTTTTTGGGGGGGTGGGGGGTGGGGGAGACCGGAGAGAGTAGTATTCGGTAGGTACTGTTGCTTTTAGGGTTAAAATTCCTCCCCTTGGTCGCTAACCACGCCTTTTTGTTTCTCCCTTCGTCTGTTTCCACCTGTTAAAGCAACAGGCTTGTTATTGAAGGAGCCACCCTTGAAGGACACAAATGTCCTTTTCTTGACTATTGCTGGGGACTTAGATAAACCAAAGGGTGGGAAAATGCAAGGAAGACATATTTTGGAGGATCTAGAATGGAATGAAATGGAATGGACTAGAGTAGAGTAGAGTAGAGTAGAGTAGAGTAGAGTAGAGTAGA